CCCAAAATTTTCCATTCATAGGGTGAGTTTATGTTAGCAAACTTTTCCAAAGTGCCATGATATTTGGTTCTTGTCGAAGGGAGGGACCAAATCAACGTGAGGGAATGGTTTAACAACATACAAAATATAACGTTTTACAATAGAAATTAACCCTTTGTTTCTCTATATATTTTATCACACCTCTAGTGTGTTTCTTGTTATTTTGATTAGAATAATGATGATTAATTGCTGCCTAGTCCAATTTTGTACAGACCCATATAGTAATTATGGTATTTGTACCCTGTTTACCCGTTTACCGGTCTGCAACAAGTCTGGTGAGGGTCTATGTGAGTAATTTTCGAACATAATTTGGTTCATTTTTGCATACTCAAAATATGAAAACAGTCATGTATTTTGTAATGGATTTAAGCCTTGAACTCAGTTGTAGTTTTCTTTGTGACCTGGATGGAAGGAAAAATGAAAAAGAAATTTATTTGCAGAGGTTTTCTATAAACTTGACAACCATCCTAGAAAATAAATGTTTCATCCAGGTAGGGCAAACGAGAGAAAAAAATAAACCCTGGACAAGGATTGTACACAAAGAGTTTACTGACTTTGACCTTTCATCTGTAAAAATTAGAAAGAACGTTTGCTCTAGACAAGTATATGTTTATGCAAAGAGATTTTCTTACCTTCACCTTTCATCTAGAAAATTGGCTCAATGTCACCGCAAACCCTCTACCCGAGAGGACTCTAAGTATAAAGTATGAGCTCAAAAGAGCCAAGCGGGGAGAAAATATGCTCTGAACAAGGATTTTACACAAGGAGGTTTTCTTTACCTTGACATTTGTTTGAAAAAAATGGCTCAAGTCCTTGAACACCCTTCGCCAATGGATACTCTGTGAGTAAAGTTTGAGCCAGGTAAGGCCAAGGAGAGAGAAGACATACTCTGAACAAAGTTTTCTTAAGCAAAGCTATTTTCTGACGTTGATCTTTCATCTAAAAAATTGATTCAAGGTCACTGCATACCCTCTACCCAAGGACGATCTATTGTTTGAAAGAGTTAAATATCAGCAATTATCAACCTTGCCTTTGAATAGTGCATTCAACCAAGACTGAGGCAAAATAGGGCTATCGTTTCCCACTGTCACATTTGGGTTGTAGGGGTGCCATTAAGTAGTGTTAAGGTTTGGGACCAAATTGTTAGCAATTTTCTCTTTGTCATCTTTGGACAACATTTAAAATAGCACTGCTATGGGTAAGTATTCTTATTTAGTATATCTTGTCAACTTTTTGAGAGATCTCCGGCTCTCTGGCCCTGGAAGGGACCAGTAGACTAAACCAAACTTTTTTTTACATTGCATTGTGAGATGAAGTTAAAGAAAGACTACTACCTCCCTTACCTTTGAAGTGTAAAAACAACAAAGTTCAGGTTAGCTTACTGGCCCTTTTCCTTCAACAGGACACTTCCAAAACCTGGCAAGTGGTTTTCCCTAAGGTCCTTAACCTTTCACTAGTGTTACTTTGTTCTAGTAGCCAAAGATGCTTTCAAAAAGAATGCTTGAAATACGTCCCCCACCCATGGCACCACTTGGTGGTACCACTACAGCAACATTCTGATAGCAGGAAATGATAGTCCTAGGGGCCCTCTACATTGCCCCAGTAATGATTTGAAGCACACTTCAAAGATAAAGGGTATATTAACTGACCTTTAACCCATATATTAAAACACAAAGTGAAAAACAACAAAGTTCAGGTTAGCTTACTGGCCCTTTTTCTTCAACAGTATCCTTCGAAAACCTGGCAAGTGGTTCTCCCTAAGGTCTTTAACCCTTCACTAGTGTTACTTTGTTCTAGTAGTCAAAGATGCTTTCAAAATGAATGCTTGAAATACATGCCCCACCCATGGCACCACTTGGTGGTACCACTACAGCAACATTCTGATAGCGGGAAATGATAGTCCTAGGGGCCCTCTACCTTGCTCTAGTAATGATTTGAAGCACACTTCAAAGATAAGGGGTGTAATTGCTGTCCCTTAACCCGTATATTAAAACACAAAGTGAAAAACAACAAAGTTCAGGTTAGCTTACTGGCCCTTTTTCTTCAACAGGACCCTTCGAAAACCTGGCAAGTGGTTCTCCCTAAGGTCCTTAACCTTTCACTAGTGTTACTTTGTTCTAGTAGTCAAAGATGCTTTCAAAATGAATGCTTGAAATACGTACCCCACCCATGGCACCACTTGGTGGTACCACTACAGCAACATTCTGATAGCGGGAAATGATGGTCCTAGGGGCCCTCTACCTTGCCCCAGTAATGATTTGAAGCACACTTCAAAGATAAGGGGTATAACATCTGACTTTTAATCTGTATATCAATAGACAATGTGAAAAACAACAAAGTTCAGGTTACCTAACTGGCCTTTTCTAGTCATTGGAACCTGTCAAAAAGTTGACAAAGGATACTCCCTAAGGCCCTTAACTTTTTTCCAGTTTAGTATTAGTTTGTTCTAGTGGTCAATGATGGTTGAAAAATGAAAGCATGAAAGATGTTCCCCACCGTTGGCACCACTTGGTGGTGCCGTTACAGCCTCAAACCGATTGCGGGAAAGATAGTCCTAGAATCTTCTATCTTGCACAGTAATGATTTAAAGCACACTTATAAGATAAGAGGTATAATAGCTGCTTGAAATATGTAACCTGCCCTTGGCACCACTTGGTGGTACCACTTCAGCCTAAATTTTATGGCCGTATATAATAGCCCTGTGGACCCTTTTACCTTGAGCCAGTAATTGTTCGAAGCACACTTCAAGGATCATAACTTAAAATAGATTAAATTACCTTCAAACCCTTATCAATGTAAATTTTAGGAGTAAGCAAATTTCAGGTTAGCCTTTTGGCACCATCATGTTCCTGAGACCCGTAAAAGAGCCTAAAAGGGATTCTCCCGGAAGTACTTAACCTATCCAATGCTGTTTTATTCTTAAGCGGTCAAAGATGGTGACATTTTCTTCTTTTTGTTTGTTTGTTTGTTTGTTGTGAAACCGCATAATTTTCCTTATGCAGGTGAGCTTAACTGCCTCCAAGTGTTTGAATTATTAATTAATAATTAAGTGTTGCATTAATTATCTAATTATTAATTATAAATTGTCGAAAATGAGGCATTAAACAGTATTGCGTCAGAGTACTCTCAGTCCTTTGATGAATTTCCTTAGTGGCTGCTAGCTTCTACGGGCTTAATGGCTGCTGTTATTGGCTGCTAGCTTCAGTCTAGTTAAGGGCATACGCAACATAGCTTTGAACTTTATTGCCTTAATCCCTGTATAATCTAAGAGTTCCAATAATTAAATGACTTTTGTTTGACTTTTATAATGCACCTAATGATGACGTATATATATATATATACATGTACCTCTTCTATACAAAGTTTGAGAAAATACCAACTAAAACTATATTTTGGTTAATTTTTCTTGGAATAACACAAAGATTTTCATCATTTGATATCTATTCAAAACCCCAGGCTCTGGGGCCATAAAACTTAACCGAGCTCACTTTTGATCTCAGTCTCACTTTTCCACTATATATTCCTTTTGTAAAAGTGAGACTGAGATCAAAAGTGAGCTCGAACAAGTTTTATGGCCCCGGAGTCTGGTAACGAATGTTGATGTTTTGTCCAAGAACATCAGATGGTACTATGATTTTAAATCAAGGCTGATGGTACTATGATTTTAAGGTAGTCCGATCCTCAGGTTGCGATATTCAGCTTTTCAGTAACTGAAAATTCTCACAAAAATGTCTTGACAGAATAACGTGTGTTTTCACATGGTATTTCTTCAAAGTTCATCACTAAAGTTAATCATATTATACAAGGGAAAATTATTAGATCTCAAATATATTTTGAGTAAATGCGAATAAAAGCACCAGCTATGCATTTTCTAATTGAAAACTGATCAACATATATTTATTTTTGGATTCAAAATTATAGGTATCCAGGCATTTGGAGAAAATTGCATGCTTTGCACACTTATACAGTATTTTACTTCTTCTATTTACTTCAATTGTTATGAAATACATAGTGTAAAAAGTTTTTGTTAGCATTGCAAGAAATCCCAGATTACTTCTAATTTCACATCATGTTAATAAGCACTGGGATCTAATGCTACATTGAAGGAAATTTGATTTCTCTAAAAATGAATTTATTTTTGTACTTTTGTGGGGAAGAAATGTCAACTTTTCATAATATCATTTCTAAGACTTCAAAGAACCTTATTAATAAATCATATTGAGATGCATAAAATGAAAATTGTTGCAAGAAAATATTTCAATTTCAAGCTTCATTTTGAGACTTTTTTAATTAAATAACAGATTTAAGAGTTATCATTCCTAGCTGAGGATTGGATATCCTTAAATCTTGAAAAATTATCAGTAGGTAAGGTACTTTGTAAGATACATGTACATGTACGTTGCATATCACCTTAACCATATGATAACTTATACTGATTTAAAAAAAAAAAGACAAGAGTTCTGCATTCTAGGCAGACTTTGCAACCAAAAAAATCATCATATCTATAGTAAAACCATAATACAATTAGGCATACGAAAAACTGATAAAAATACAGAGCACTGATTGGTTGTCAAAATGTTCTCAGACGTATATTGTATCATTAGGCGGCGATTTTACAATGCTAACTGATAATATTATTACATCATTGCGCTTGTCGTTGACCGCTTGTGGTTTTCATACATTTCAATGTATAATTAGTAGTATAGTACTTTGTTATATTGCGTTCTTTAATTTGTATGAAACCTTAAGAATCATGTTAGATATAGCTTTATCCCCCCCCCCCCCCCTCCCCACCCCAACACAGACACTCACACGTAATACTCCTGTTTTACATCATGATTGTCTTTTTGGAAAATAGTCTTATATGAACGTGTCAAAATATTATATCAATGCATTAAAGAAAACACATGAAAAGCCGAGAAAAAAAATCCAGAATATCAGCAAAGAAAAACGACATGTAATTATAGTTTAAAATTTTTATGATACAGAAAAGTGAATTTTAAGAGTAAACACTGTACAAGAATAGGAACAGAGTATTTAATATAAAAAACTTCCAGTTCCTTTGAAGGATAAATACCCGATAAATTCATGATTTTACCCTGTAGGAAGGTACATGTATACAAATACATGATAAAAGCAGATTACTTTCTTTGTACTTTTCCTGACATCTGTTATCTGGTTGTACTGACGTTCCATGTAAGACATGCATATAATTACATGTGTTTATTGCACAATCAAAGCACCACAATGATATGGTCAAATGTTTGACAGAACAAAAATGTCATTCTACAATTTACAATCTACAAATTGCAACACTCATAACATTCAATACATTTACATCTATACATATAAATGAATAAATTTTGCCAATCAACCCTGAAATAAATAATTTGCTTATGATGTCTTAATACCTTCACAATTTAATTCCATATTTATTGTAATACAATTTCTTTATAAACACTTTTTGCTCATTGCAGTAAACATTGGTTTATACAAATATGTAATTGAGAGCAAACAGTTGAACAAAATTCCTATTTGTCATAATGATAAAATACAAAATAAAAATTTTTCCCCAGGAAACAAGTTAAAAAATTGTAAAACTATGCAAGATTTAATTACAGTCAAACCTCATTACTTCAAATCTGATTGGACAGAGAAATTTTTGAGAGGGTTCAAGATATTTAGGGTAAAATACGTAAAGCTTTAGTGGTTAGGACTTCTGACCTGCTATGACATATCCATGGTACCAGTTACAGTGTATATCAGAAAATGTTCAATATATGGAAGTTCAACTCTGATGGTTCACATCATGGGGAATATTTTACCCTTGGTACCACTCTATGAATTGTAAAAATAAACTTTCATTGCAAAATAGAAGAATCTGATTACAAAGTTTTAACCATGTCCAATTATGAATATGTTTCAGTTCTTTAATCCATGTATATGTGGTAATATGTTATGCACTGTGGACTAGAATTGTATTTTTGAAAAAGTATCATCCTATATGCTCATCTATTTACAAAGCATATACGGTACTTCTCTAAAGTTTGTGACTTTTCAAATCTACTAATGATTGAAATTTTATCAAGTCAAAAAATTAAAAACTGAGATAATTGTTTTTGGTTTAAAAGGTCTGGCAATTTCTATATATGGATGCGGAGATCGATAACTGTATAAAGCAATCATTTAATATTTTCACTTAAAAGATTTATTGGTATTATGAGTTTGTAATCCCAATACTTTAACTTAATTGTGATAGGAAATTAAATACATATATAAATATAGTTGATTTTCCTGTTTGAGAGCCTAGAATGAGTGTTTTAAAACCGAGGAAATAAAAGATTTCTGTGTAAAACTAAATCATAATTCTAAAATGAGTGGCAATATTATAGTGATAAAAAGCATTTGTCTTCTTTCACTGTTGGACTAATTTAACACCTCTTCCTTTGAATGTTAATAGTCTCGTACATGTAGAGTACATTCAGCATGCACTCATAAAATTCATAATATGGACAGGTCCTAATTTTAAAACTTGCTTAAACACCAATACCCCTTGAACAGAGTAAACAACTTAGATTTATATGCATGACAACTTCATGATATTGAGGAAACTTGAACAGTTAAACAAAAAGTTTTATTTGCCAACAATGTTAATAAAATATGTACCAGTAATTACCACATACTTGTTATTGCACCCTATTCCGTGTATTATTGTGTTTCTTCATTTTGAGATGAAAATATTAATGTTTATTCATAGTTAATATGTGAGGAATACCTAATTCTTTTAAACTGTTCATCTCATATCTAAAAATTTCGTCTCAAAAAATTTTTTTTAGAGGAAAAAGCAGAGACATCTGTTTACTTAATTGTTTCTTGTGGGTGTGTGAAATGCTGTTTTTTTTTATTGGACAGATAAATATCTACTTGATTATGAAGCATATTTATTGCGACTTTCAATTTTCCTTTGACTTCTCACCAAGAAGAATCATTCTATATAAGGAAATTGTCCAGACCTGTTCAACACTTGACAATAACACATTGGTAATTGTGCATTGTTTGTCATGGAAATGAATAAAATAATAATTTTAAATCAAATCAAATAAAAATAATGCTAATGATTATAAATAAAAATTCTCTCATTAACAATACTGAACAAAATGTACTGAAAGAAAATAAAAGCCCTGAATAAAGATAAAAATCAAATCACAGATTATTGTATGTCGATCAGTTGTACTTTACATGTATCTCCAATGATTGTCAGAAATCAAACAATGCCACTAGCATTCAATACTTTGTCCTGAATAAACTGGTTTCTCTTCATTTTCTGCAATTCACCATTCTGTAAAATAATTCTTGTTATGGAATTTTCACATATAGTGACTAAAAGAGAAAATGTCACATTAATGTGTGGTTAAGCATATGATCCATTTTTATCAATAGACCCAATTTATAATCGAAATTTCCTTAACATAAGGAAAAGAAGATGTAGAAAATTAGGCATTTAAGATGCATTTTAAAAGATGCACATGTGTACATACCTTCCAGGAAATGACTAGATTGTCTGCTCCACATGAAATCATTCCATCAAGTCCACAGTCCTCTATTTTCTTCAATAAATTTTATAAATTTAAAATAATATACATATTGATGACATTACATCAGTATTTGGTTTACTCCTGAGTCTAAAATGGTTTTAAGAATTACATATTTCACATACATAAACTATATTGACACAGTTTTCATTAGTTGTTGTCCTAAATACATGGACAATATTACAGCAGTCTTGATTCTTACTTTTATTACTACTTGAAAAAATATATTCTATTCTGCATATGTATCAATTGTTTTGTTTTTTTTTAAACAGAAATATTCTTTTTTTTTTTAATTCCCCATAACCCCCCACCCCCAATCTTTACCATGCCTATGGTTTTTAATTCCTAATATAGAAGAAATGCAATTGCAGTGAAGTACACTTACATATAAACCTGAACTGTACAGTATAAGTGCATATGAAAATTAGGACATACCATCACAGACCCACAGTGTCCCAGACACTCTCCAAGAAGGACTGGTTCAGGAAATGGGTCAGATCCCCTGTTCTGATGAAGCTGACCAAAACTGGACAAAAAAATGCACTTAGTATTCATTGCTTTTCAATCAATAATTTCAGTACTTTTATTAGCAATTCCATAAAACTCAATTTTAAATTTGAACACATAGATTTTTTTGCTGGAAACTACATGAAACTTGCATATCGATGTTTCATCCATTAAATTCCAAAGCAGTGTTCCCTTTATTTCAAAAGTCAAGTACAATAATACGGTAAATAAATTTAAAAATGAACTAACTTGATATCTAAGAACCTCTCTATGGGGTTAAGTCCCATGGAAGATTTCACCAACTCTTCTCCAGTGTTACTGTGTGACCTTTGACCCCATAAACGGATACTGCCATCCTCAGAACAAGTAGCTAGCAGCAACCTTCAAATAAAGAGTTTATTTTATTTCCAAACAGTTATAGTTTCTTTTCTTATACAATAAATTATCTACAGAAATTGTGCATGCAATTTGTAACATATAAAGTAATTATTTTGAAAGATATTGTTTAAAGTATAGTAATTACACTAATAAAATATTTTTCATAAAGTGCTTTTAAAAAACAAAAGTAACACAAACATTTTTTTTATATTACACATAAGTTTTATTATATATATGCAAGTTGTAAGTACTTACCCATCACATACCAATGTAAGCTGAGTGACTTTAGAGTAATGAGCATTTAGTTTCTTACACAAGAGCTTGTTAGAGAGTGTGTCAAATAATGCAAAACCACAACCAATAGCTGCCAAAAGATACCTCTGAAACCAAAGAAAATACCTTTAATTATTACATTTTCAACAGTGAAATACTGCGATTTATTTATTGAATAAAAGTGATATTCTCTCACAGTGTGAAAGGATACCAAAATGATATTCTCTCACAGTGTGAAAGGATATCAAAGTAAGTAAAAATAATTTCTGGCCTGTCATAAGATAGAGATAGTAACTAAACATCTTGTTAGAGCTAAAACTGCAAATTTCTTCCCACATATGTTGCTTAAATCCATACTATGTAATGTCTTCATTCTCACAACTGCTAAGCTATGACGTCTCAACTGCTCAACTATGACGTCAAACCTAGCTATGACACTGTGTTAAGAAAAGACAGAAGCAAAGGGAAAATCAAAAAAAATGTAATAAACAGAAAATTCAATGTTTTGTAGATTCACACTAGTTTGGTTGACAAATTTAAGTTTATTTATTGCCCCTCCCCTTTATGGATTTTTTTACCATATTTGATCTGCATATCAAAATTAGAAATACAATTATGTTCCTTTTAAAATATTATAGATATTGCAATATATACTACATGTAAATTTCACTGTATTTTACAGAATGAACAACATATTATCCAGTCCAAAAGTGCAAGAAAGTGGAATTAATTTTTGTTAATTCATATTAACAGTATCATATCCGTGCACCCAGTGAGAAACTTGAAAACATTCAATACATTTATCATTTGTTTACATGTACCTGGTTTTCACAAGTAATATACTGCACACTGTAAGGATATGCATTAGCCTTCCCTTTGTATTCTGACATGGTGTTCAATTTCTTAAGAGGTATGAATGTTTCTGACGACCACAGTAATATAGTGCCATCTAATGAGCCACTGGCAAATAATTTATCTATAAGATAAACAATATAACAATAATAAAAAAATGAAATCTTATGATAAAAAATATCAAATACAAAGTCCTTGTTTTGTGACCCCAAAACTGAGAAAGGGCAATTTTATTCTATGTACCGGCGGCAGTATAACAATGGTTCACTTTGTTTTGACAATTTAATACATAACTAGTATTTTTTGCATAATTTTAAATATAAAAATAATAAGCTAATGAGTCTTAAGTCTTCTGAGTAGCATATGGTATATGTAACTTAGAGAAATGTCCTGTTCTCACAATAGCTAACATAAGCCAAAAATATCAGAAAATAATTTTAAAATCTTTGTCTTTAGAACAGCAGCATTCCAATACTTATATATACTGTACATAAAAATAGATGGTTTTTGCCAATAAAAGACGGTCACAAAATTGGCAAATATTTCTGGATAGAAGGTGGTTTATAGTATTGAATAATGTATCAAAAGCTTAATATGTTGCCCCTTGCAAACATTTCAACATTACAATACTCTCTCTCTGATCTGGATTTTTGACTGTAATATTGTAACAGGAAAGAAGAAAATGTACAACTGGACCGGGAATCGAACCTGGGACCCCTGCATCACTAGTCAGGTACTCCACCAACTGAGCTACCCAGGCTGATACCCACAGCCCAAACCATTACATTCCTCCCTCCTTTACTTGTCTTTTCCCTTGAAGATGCAACCAAAGTTCTCATTTTCCTCTGGCAGAACTCTCACCTGCAAGTCCAGGGATGGTCAATGGCACCAAATTATAAAACAGGAAAGGAGAAAATGTATGGCTGGACTGGGAATCGAACCCTGGTAGACAGGTGCTCTACCAACTGAGCTACCCAGGCCAATATCCATAGCCAAAAACCATTACAATATTACAAAAGAATTCCAGAAGGGGAGTAATAGAAAAAATGTAAATTTGCCTGTCATCACATTAATTTATTATCTAGCATCAGTGTTAGGTTTAAATGAACACAATCTCAGACAGTATACCTGATACGGGAATCAGTGACCGTATGGCCTCTAGGTGTGAAGGTAATATCTTCAGCATACATATTTTGTAGTTTGCCTCATCCAAATTAAGTGAATCCTTGATGGAATAAACAGCTATAAAAAAGGAATACAATGTAATGTCTTCATTTAAATGTCCACAGACAATTATATTAAAAATAAAAGTAGATATACATGTACATGTATGGCTATAATCATTAAAAACATCTTTGTTTCTCCCAATCCAACCCTAAATTCTCAAGTTGAGTATGTAGGAAGGTAAATAATTTTTTTTTTCTAAAAGATTCTTTGAAAGTACATTTTCAAATTTAATTCAATAATACCTTTATATATGTAATTAGGAAAAGTACAAAGGAAATAATTTTAAAACAGGATATCATACAAATGGAACTTAAAAAAACAAAATTTAACAGTAAATTAATTCCCAAGTTGTTCAACTGAACAAACGAAATATCTCACACTAATCTAAATTTATTGAAATCAACTATATACAGAGACAAGATTCTCAGATACCCAATGATTGGGAAACACTCTTATTTATAGTCATGGTATATCTTAATTTATGAAATGTTTCTATAGTGTAGGATTCCAATAAGTTAAAGACATATAATATGATAGGATGCTGTTGTTTTATAACCCAAACTATCCCACTGCGACCACGTTGTGGGTGCCATTTTGTTTCCAACAAACACTTGAAAATCACAGTAGCACAAAATCAGCCAATTTTAATGAATTTTAAGAACTAAGCACACTAACTATCTATTTCTGCCTACATTTTACACCCATTTAATTCAATACTAATGGCGTAAATTTGCCATAAATTCTTTGTTCAATGCAAAGAACAGTTCAATGGTAATTGACTGATAATTTTAATACCTGGCAGTGTTAAATAGTTAATTACCCCTAATTCCAGCTCTTTAAATAAGGGGGGTAGACGATATTTTTCATTGAAATTGGGCTTCAAAGCATCCCCACATTTTAAAATATTCTTGGATATGAATAAATGTTCCTTAAATCTTTTCTTATGTTTTACTCATATAAAATTAAAAATTAAACATATATTTTTAAGAAAGTACAATGTTTTAGTTGTAAACCCCTTTGAAATTGGTGAAAAAAATAAGCATTTTTGTAGTTTTTTTTTGTCTGTAAACATATGTTCCCCCCGTGAAACACAAAAAGCTTTGGTATAAATTTGTGAAATGACAGTCCACATTACCTATTAAAAGGAATTTTTGTTTCACCGAGGGGGGGGGGGGGGACACAAGTTTTACAAAAATTATAGAGTTATCTCTCTTTGTTTTCCAAAAGAAGTAATCTTTTATGAAAATTCATATAAATATCTATATAGATATGAAAAATCATTCAAATGTGCCAACTCTTGAAAATTGACTTGGAGGAAGGCGGGAGAACAATACTATCATTCACAGTTCTTTGATTCTAAAAAGTTAATAAATAAAAACAAATTTAAATCACTTATTATAAACTCTTTTTAGTCGGCACAATTTAATTTAAACAGTTGTGTTAGGTGAAACATATTTTTTTATTTTGGCCTAAATGTATTCTGTCCAAGACAGTCTTTGTCTATTTACTATATTTCTAGAAATATAAAAAATATATAAGATGCATTATCTGGCAGCTAATTTTCATGCAAAAGGATTCAAAATAATCCAAATGAATCACTTACTTAGTATTTTGTCACATGCAGCTACAAATTTTTCATTCCTTTGGTTTGTAGAAATTAACAGAGAAATGTCAGCTGAAACAAATTTAAGAAATGTTAATAAACATAGTGGATATTACTAAAAATCCAGGTACTAAGTCTTGTGTAAAAAAGCAGATGCAGTGAAACTTCTCTAATGTTGTATATTCCGAAATTTGCCTTTTACAATGAAGAATTCTAGTCCTTAGAAGTAAATTCAATTGATTAAAATGTAGTCTAATCTGAAATGCTGTATAATCAAGCTTATTTCTTTGGAACCATCCATTTTAGACAATATTGTACTAAGTACCCTTGGCCCTTGCAATTTTATTATGCATGGATGACACTGAAATGATTTAAAAAAAAAAAGAGGCCCATGAGCCACAATGCTCACCTGAGTCACTATTGCCTTGCTGTTCATTATTTAATTCCCCATCTTTAATTTCATAAAAATTTTGACTCCATATTGCTTACATAAACTTAGTCCTTTAAGGGGGCTATGATTTATTCCAAGATGAATCCACACAACATTGGGATATACATCAATGTGACTAACATGGCCATGCTTTTTTGGAAAAGATTTTTTATCCTATACATAGGCATTAATTTGGACTTCTGATTTTAGCCCAACTCTAACCCCCAGGGTTCATAAATTAAATTTAATCCAAACAACTTAGGAATGTTTTGCTTATTAATGATTTAGTGTGGCCTTGCTACTCTAGAAAAGATATCTTCCAACATACTCCCCTCTGATCCCCTTTTATAGCCTCAACCTATTCCAAGGGACCCTGATCTAAAAAAAAATAAAACTAGAGGTACTTTGAGAACTAAGCTCACAAAATGATACCCCCCACTCCCATATAAGTATAATGGTAAAGTCCATTTTTTGCCATGGGAAAGCTCAAATATCTGTCCCATCAAAACATTAAGTAGGAGGTGCACAATGGCACTATGTAATAAAGATTCTGGTAAAGTATTAAATTTTATTCATTTGTATGGGAGGAGTTGCAGAAAAAAGATGGGTACCCTAAAGCGTAACGGACAGACAGACGGACAAACAAATGGATACCCCCATCAATATACATCCCCCGCTTTTCAAGTGGGGGGGGGGGGTATAATAAATATAAACTATCTGAGGATGCTTGTATATCAATATGAGTAATCATTGCTTTTCTTGTTTATTAGAGGAAGTTTTTTATAGGTAAGATCCATGTCTAGTGGGCCAATCTCATGTGTACTTCTCTTACCTTCTATTTATGGGTAGGACAAGACACGTGTCTAAAAGTCTAGTAGACCATTCTCAAACATCTACTTACCTTTTGTTTATGGGTAGGACAAGACACATGTCTAAAAGTCTAGTAGACCATTCTCAAACATCTACTTACCTTCTGTTTATGGGTAGGACAAGACACATGTCTAAAAGTCCAGTACACCATTCTCAAACATCTCTTACCTTCTTGTTTATGGGTAGGACAAGACACGTCTAAAAGTCTAGTAGACCATTCTCAAACATCTCTTACCTTCTTGTTTATGGCTAGGACAAGACACATGTCTAAAAGTCTAGTAGACCATTCTCAAACATCTCTTACCTTCTTGTTTATGGGTAGGACAAGATACGTGTCTAAAAGTCTAGTAGACCATTCTCAAACATCTCTTACCTTCTTGTTTATGGGTAGGACAAGACACGTGTCTAAAAGTCTAGTAGACCATTCTCAAACATCTCTTACCTTCTTGTTTATGGGTAGGACAAGACACATGTCTAAAAGTCCAGTACACCATTCTCAAACATCTCTTACCTTCTTGTTTATGGGTAGGACAAGACACATGTCTAAAAGTCTAGTAGACCATTCTCAAACATCTCTTACCTTCTTGTTTATGGGTAGGACAAGATACGTGTCTAAAAGTCTAGTAGACCATTCTCAAACATCTCTTACCTTCTTGTTTATGGGTAGGACAAGACACGTGTCTAAAAGTCTAGTAGACCATTCTCAAACATCTCTTACCTTCTTGTTTATGGGTAGGACAAGACACGTGTCTAAAAGTCTAGTAGACCATTCTCAAACATCTCTTACCTTCTTGTTTATGGGTAGGACAAGACACGTGTCTAAAAGTCTAGTAGACCATTCTCAAACATCTCTTTCCTTCTTGTTTATGGGTAGGACAAGACACGTGTCTAAAAGTCTAGTAGACCATTCTCAAACATCTCTTACCTTCTTGTTTATGGGTAGGACAAGACACGTGTCTAAAAGTCTAGTAGACCATTCTCAAACATCACTTACCTTCTTGTTTATGGGTAGGACAAGACACATGTCTAAAAGTCTAGTAGACCAGTCTCAAACATCTCTTACCTTCTTGTTTATGGGTAGGACAAGACACGTATCTAAAAGTCTAGTAGACCATTCTCAAACATCACTTACCTTCTTGTTTATGGGTAGGACAAGACACGTGTCTAAAAGTCTAGTAGACCATTCTCAAACATCTCTTACCTTCTTGTTTATGGGTAGGACAAGATACGTGTCTAAAAGTCTAGTAGACCATTCTCAAACATCTCTTACCTTCTTGTTTATGGGTAAGACATGTGTCTAGAAGTGTACCACTCCTTGTCCACAGGTGAAGCTTTTCTCCTGCAGACAAAAACAAATCATCAAGGACAGGAAGCAGGCACTAAAAAGGAAAAACTTGGCATAGTACAGACAATCTAAAACTACATTCTGATCAATGCAAAGTCTTAAAAAAAAGTATAACAATCTAAGAGGTTCATTTTGAACAACAAAATATATGTAAGCTACATGTAGTTTAAAAAGAGTTAAAACAAAAAACATGTTTTGAGGTGTTTACAAACTTTAGTATGTTAAGTTAATTGTTGAACTTAAAGCACAAAAGAAACTCCAGAAAAATTCACCACTTTATGGGAATGAATCTAAAGTGTAAACGTCAATGAAGAACTCTTATGAACACATCTAGTGTGTATTTCACAATGATATCAGTACATGTACATGTAAAGCAGACAAATATTTATATTAATCCCTCAAAATATAAACACAGTGAAATTTGGATGACAGTGAAAAAATATGTTCCTTATGATAGTGTACAATAGTTAGTGCATTTACAGTAAGACATGCTTATACATGTAGCAAAGTGCCACAGACAAACAATTTTGATTCTTTATAATTATATTTCATTATATCTGATAATAATACATTTTAAAACCTCAGGAAATAAAAATCACTGGCCTTAAGCATGAATTTCTCATAAGCGTGTTCAAAATAACTGTGCATGTTCATTATATAACTGTTTAAAGGTTGCTAGGTCACCTTGACAGAAGCTTCGTGTTCTGTGATGTCCTGAACACATCTGCCTTGCTCAATATCCCACACCTATAATGAAAAGAAAGTTCAATATATTATAAACAGTAGTGGCAATAAACATGATAAACATAGTCATATGATAAAGTGAACATCTGATTTTATATAAAACAAGAGGCCCAATGGCCTTAATGGTCACCTGAGTACAATACAACAATTTAGAGGATCCATAAACTGATAAATGAAGCTTTAAATGTTGCCCAAAAGCAAGAAAAATAGTATGATAAGCATCAACAAAATAATTGGTATAGCATCTATCTGTCCCCCATTTAACACTATTACCATGCAGACTATTAACAAAATGTCTATTTTTAATCCCAAATTACTACTTCTCACATTGGTCTCTGATAAAAATACCCTTGCATACTAAAACTTTTACTCTCTTTGCCTCGAATATGCCCAGAAGCATAGAAAATTTTCAAAGAAATGCATGTTCACTATATAATTAAATAAATAAAGCCCCCCCCCCCCCCCCTTACACCAGAACATCTTACCCAGGAGCCATGAACTCACAATTCTGGAAGAAGCACTTTGCTCATCATAACTATACACTTGTTTTCTTTGCTTTATTACCAGTAGTAGAAAAAATATTTTGAAAGAAATTATGCATTTTCACTATAAAATCAATAGAGCCCCCCCCCCCCCCTTCACCAGAACCCTGACCCAGGGGCCATGATTTTCACAATTTTGGAAGAGGCATTCTTCCTTAAGTTATTATAACCATGCACTTTCTTTATCTGAATAACACCCAGGAGCAGAGAAGAAGATTTTGAAAGAATTTATGCATTTTCCCTATATAATCAATAGAGCCCCGCCCTAACAGCAGAACCCTTCACCCAGGGGCCATGAAATTCACAATTTCTGAGGAGGCAGCCATGCTCATCATAACTATGTACTTAGTTTATTTAATATCCAGGAGAGAGAAGATTTTCAAAGAAATAATGCATTTTCACTATATATATCAATTGAGCCCCACCCAGACACCAACACCCCAACCCAGGGGCCATGAAATTCACAATTTTGGAAGAGGCAACCATGCTCATCATAACTATGCACTAAGTTAGTTTATTTAATACCCAGGAACAGAGAAGAAGATTTTCAAAGATTTAATGCAAATAATCAATAGAGCCCCACTCTAACACCTGAACCCCTGACCCTGGGCCATGAAATTCACAATTTCTGAAAAGGCAGCCATGCTCATCACATCTATGTTCTTAGTTAGTTTATTTAATACCCAGGAGCAGAGAAGAAGATTTTCAAAGAATTAATGTATTTTCACTATGTAATTAATAGAGCCCCACCCTAACACCAGAACCCCTGACCCTGGGGCCATGAAATTCACAATTTTGGAAGAGGCACACTTGCTCATCATAACTTTGTACTTAGTTACTTAATTTAATACCCAGGAGCAGAGAAGAAGATTTTCAAAGAATTAATGCATTTTCACTATATAGTCAATAGAGCCCCGCCCTAACACCAGAACCCCTGACCCTGGGGCCATGAATTTCACAATTTTGGAAGAGGCACTCTTGCCCTTCATAACTATATACTTGGTTAGTTTATTTAATACCCAGGAACAGAGAAGAAGATTTTCAAAGAATTAATGCATTTTCACTATATAATCAATAGAGCACCGCCCTAACACCAGAACCCCTGACCCTGGGGCAATGAAATTCACAATTTTGGAAGAGGCACTCTTGCCCTTCATAACTATGTACTTAATTTGTTTATTTGATACCCAGGAGCAGAGAAGAAGATTTTCAAAGAAATAATGCACTTTCACTATATGATCTATATAGCCCCACCCTAGCACCAGAACCCCTGACCCTGGGGCCATGAATTTCACAATTTTGGTAGAGGGTTCAATGTTTATTACAATCATGCTAACAGTTTGACTGCTTGATGTCCAGGAGTAAAGAAGAAGATTTTTAAAGATTGCATTAATTTTGGTGGTTTTAGCCCCACCCCTCAGGCCCCAGGGGGGCAGGGACCATGAAATTCATAATTTTTGTTCCCCTTCACCCATAGATGCTATATACCAAATTTGGTTGAAATTGGTTAAGCGGTTCTGGAGAAGAAGTTAAAATTATTCAAAAGTTAACGGACGACGCACGCCGACGGACGAAAACGGATAGCAACGTTGTAAGGTCACCTGAGTCACTCAGGTGACCTAACAAAATTCAAAAACAGTCTTCGCCAAGTTCTTTCTTTTTCTTCTTCTTTTTTTTTTGTAGGGCATGCAATCATTACTTACTTGTATATCATTATCTTATTGAAAAAAAACAAAACAAAGTACAACTACATGTGTCAGTGTGACACTAATGATCCTGCAACATATACTTTCGCTGCATGAAAGTAAAAATCATCTACAAGCACAGCAAAAAAGTCCATAAAACAGTGAATAGTTAGAATTTTTCAAAATCTAAGGGCAATAATTTTCATAAAAATTGGTCAATCAACATTAAACTTGATCTGTAAGTCATCAATTTTAAGACATATACTAAAAATCAGCTCATTTAACTACAAAATGGCAAAGAGAGGTCTGGAAAACTATGATGGAATGACAGAGTGATTGAATGACAGATGGAAAAGGGGTAACACTATATATACACATGTACCAGCCATATCATGGTGGGTACATAAAAAAAATATTTTCCTTAAATTAATATACATTGTAAAATGTAAATAGATTTACTTTAATGTGTTTGTCAGATGACCCAGTAATGAGCCAATGAGAATTCTTATTCTTTAGACAAAAGGACAACAAGCATGTGACAGGTCTTATGTGGGCCTCCAAAACTACCAACTTCATGCACAACTATAAATAAAAGTAGAAGCATTGAAGAAATCATCAATGATTAATCACATTCTGATCAAACATGCCTGCAATTTTTTTTCTGTTTTGAATCATGTTTTTTTTTTTAAATATATGTCTTAAATAATATTAGCTTTTCAGCAATATATCTAAACAAAATTACAATTAAATAATGATGATGAAAATTCTATTATATATATTTTGACAATTACCTGTATTTATAAACATACCAATGCCATACATTACCTGTATGTCCCAGACAACAACAATGCCATCGTCCCCAGCAGTGACACACCTGGTAAATGTACATTTAAAAACAATATTCAGGTGTCTCCACAGTGACACACCAGGCTTATAAGAGTAGTACACATATAATAAACATATGAAGGTGTCTCCACCCTCGTGATGTCACAGGGTTTTGCAAAATCTTTCGTTAACATGATAGTACATATTTTGTAGAAATGTTACTTAAAAGATACAATAAAAAATTTATTTTAGTACAAGATTCTAAAAAAGTTAATATTACGTATGATTAATCAATTATTTAATAAAATGAAAAAAAAGCAACAGTTCTTACTCTTTCATCATTCATTCATGTTCTCTTTTTTAGCCAACCCTTACCTGCAACTCCTTTTACACCTGAATGCAACTTAATGAAACTTTCATCAAAATCTTTATTACATAGTGGCATTGTGCATATTGATCGGACTCATATTTGGAGTTTCCTACAGCAAAATATGGACACTGCCATTTTTTTCTATAATAACATTCTATGTGTTTTAAACGGTGCGAGATTTGAAAAAGTAAACAATGGGACAAGAAATTGTGAGATTTCTATTAGTCATGAATCTCTGTTATTTACATCTCTTATTACATCACCTCATAATCACATGCACAATTGGCTTCAAAAGTGCATGTAAATTTATTTTAACCCTTGGATTTTCCTTCCCTTACAACACAACTGAAGCTGTTACTTACCTTCTCTCATCGATGACCAGTAGATGGCGCACTATGTCTGTGTGATGTTGAAGAAAGTATAACTCTGTGAAAGGATTACATGTCTGCTCTCCACTCAACTCTTCTATATTCTGTAATATAAAATACGTGTAACTGAATATTTCCAAATACTAACAGTAACATTGACAATCTGCAACAGTTATTTTTAACATTAGGTCTTCAGTTAAGTGTAGGATGTCAATTATGCAGGGCGCTCCCTTCAACTTTATACTGCTGTTCTGCTTAGCATACAAAGCAGACCTATGTATTATTGACATCCCCCAACGATAACGGATGACACTCTCCTTTCACTTTACATCCTTCATGTTTCGAAAAGGACTAGCAGATATTTCATTGTAAAATCACAACATATTATAAATGACAACATATTGTGTTTATGAAAGGAAATAAATATATCAAAATACCTCAGTTTTTTCTTCTTTTTGGTGCCCCTTTTTCCATAATTTTTGCCACATTGACATTTGACATCGGAATCGAGTTCGTATAAAAATAATACTGGCAAACAACTAACCCGATTAAAATTAGGCTACGCTCAAAAAGACGAAAACTGTGTAAAATTAAAAGTAATTAATACGGTCTATTTAAAAATACTATTTAAAACATTATTATGATAATATCGAAATTCAATTAAATGATTCATAAAAAATGATAACAAAAAGAGACCGAAATGCTTACTTAATAGAGTACATGAAAATGACTACATGGCCGTAGGAACCGGGGGCATGCCCCCCCCCCCCCCCAATAATTTTGCTGATATATAGAATACTATAGAAAACATAGCTTTTATATGCTTGTGCCCCCTCAATGATAACGTCTGATGACCCCCCTTTTTTTTTTGCTTGTCAAGGAATTTTGGTAGTTGATAGTGCCCCTCCAACTGAAAATGTATGGTTGTGCCCCCTCAAAGTGAAATTGCTTCCTACGGGCCTGGACTACATGTATGCAGTATGCAGTAGGGGCAACTGGGGTAAGTGGACACATTAAGGGTTTAATTAGAGTCTGAAAACTTCTAATCTGAACTAATCTTTCTTGTAGTATACTAAACTGATAGTTCACTCTTATCTCTTTGTATTGTAAAATATTTCTCAACTTAATTCTAATGGTTTGAAGTATATGTGCTTAGAAGTTAAATTTTAAAAAGTGTTCACTTATCCCATAGATTTGGGGTAAATGGACAGTGTTGAAAATTATGAAATAACAGTACACATTGTCTTTGAAGATACAATTACACATCCTTATATTATCGACCAAAAAAGTAAACATTAATGAATTTCTTTCTTTTTTTTCTTTTTTCAAAATTGAAATTAATTAATTTTCTGAGATCGATCACTGTTCGTTATCTTTACCCTTTTTCATTTATGAACAAGCTAATTCAGAGACTTTGTGTCCCCCGCTTAGGGGAAAAAGAAGAGCATGCGCAGTTCGGGGGGGAAGTCGACCCCCCCTTTTGATTTGTAGAATTATTAAATGCATACATGCATATTGAAGGAAATTAAAAAAATGCCAGTATGGATATAAAGATTTGATTGCTTATTCTTTAATATGTGTATAGAAGATTCTTTTTGTATAGAATATTTATCACACTGTAATAATGATTTTATATGAGTTTGTAAGAGCTAGACGTCATAACTTTTTCATTTCACATGCTGCACCCCTACTAATGTTATTGTGATTTAAATTCAAGAAACGTGGTGTAGGTTGACCCATTCTAAGGTTATAGGGTAGAACTGGTTTATAAATAAAATTGGCAGTAAACAGGAAATTGCTATAATCTGTTTCTTTTAAAAAACATGTCCTATAAAAATGTGTTGTTTCCAGAATTTTCCGAAATATTTTTAAGATTTTAAACAGAATTGAGTGGGATTTAAAAAATCACAATCTACTTAATTAATCTATGCTTTTGTGAAAATTTACGGCGAAAATTGGAGCTTTATGGGTTAAAAGCAAAATTATAATTAGCTTGCAATTAAAGAACTTCACTCGACACTCCAATTTTTCGCGGCATGTTTCGCATATATCCATATCAGTCTTTCAATAAAAAAAATCAGCAGAAGTAACTGTTCTTTGATGAGAACTTAGCTCTAAGTACTGTTATCAGAATATATTCTGTTTATCCTTCCTGGTGCTTATCTGCATCACTCTCAAAATTTACACTCATCAGTCAAACACGAGATTTCTCTCTTTTTCAATCATTCATCTTCCCAAAAAAGGTGTTGCATAAAATAATAAACAGCAATGAAAAAAGTTGTCGAAAAATCCTTGGACATTATTACTGCATTGTTAATTTAGATTCGTATAATAGAGAACAATCATATATGAAAATGTCAACGAAAATATTCCATCCAGTCTGTTTTTCAAAACTTTTTTAAAAATGAAAATATATTACAAAATATGTGAATTTACACCTTATTTTCAATACCATAATGTAAAACAAAAATGGACTTCATTTTATTGATTGACATTGCATTGTAGTGCAATAAAATGCAGTTAAACTCTTATTATGGTATACAGTATAAATTCTGCAAACAGAAAAATCTACTCATCAGTCAAAAAGGAGTGTTCATTTCTTTTGGATCTTTTGCGCATACTCAAACTAGTCATTCGATAAAAAAAACCCAGTAATGCGTAACTTTGCGAAAGACCTTCGACTAATTTACTTATTCTTAATTTTGATTCATATCAAAGAAACAAATATTTAAGAATATGGGAATAAAAGAAATGCTCTCTAGTCTGTTTTTGAAACCTTTTTTTTTCTGTTAAGAAAACAAATATTTAAGAATATGAGAATAAAAGAAATGCTCTCTAGTCTGTTTTTGAAACCTTTATGTTTTCAAAGCATAAAATGAAAAAAAGTGTGTGTATTCAATCAGTTTTAAAATTCAATTAAGAAAGAAAGAAAATGACTGAGTTAATTTTGACTGGACAATTTGGCAGGCATCACAATGTATCGCATTGTATTGCAGCAGAGTGCAGTATGGTGCAATTCTACTTGTATTTAAGCAAGCACAATTATTTTACTTGTCAATGTATTAAAAATATTCCCCACCATCCACCCTCCAAAAACAGCCTTTATATACAATTTGCCCTTGTGATTGAATGTTTATTTGGAAATTTGCATAATGTAAGTTTTGTTTCAAAGTTCGATAACTCAAATTACGTCCCTTTGAACAACGTAGACAAAACGATCATTGATTTCTGCTTTATATTATGTAAATGTTTAAGCAATGCTAACGAGTAACAGGCTTGTATACTATATATAAGACGTTAGAAAGATATTCACAAATGACCATGTGTTAAAGTCAGAGTAAATAACGGTTACGGGTAATGTCGCGTGTAAAGGACTTAGCGTGAGCTTATCTCACTAAACAAGTACTGCTAAGCAGTATTGAAAAGCGTCTTTGATTGTTCGACAAAGTCATCGGCGCTTTGTTTGAGTCTCAAAATATTCACTCATCAGTCAAACAGGAAAGTTTATATTTTTTTCACTCTTTTGCCTAATAATAAAAATTGATCAAGTATGTTTTAATTAGACAGTACATCAAGCATTACAATGCAATGTATTGTAGGACAGTTATCTTTTTATTTAAAAGCAAAATTATAATTAGCTTGCAATTATAGAACTTCACTCGACACTCCAATTTTTCTCGGCATGTTTCGCATATATCCATATCAGTCTTTCAATAAAAAAAAAATCAGCAGAAGTAACTGTTCTTTGATGAGAACTTAGCTCTAAGTACTGTTATCTGAATAAATTCTGTTTATCCTTCCTGGTGTTTATCTGCATCACTCTCAAAATTTACACTCATCAGTCAAACACGAGATTTCTCTCTTTTTCAATCATTCATCTTCCCAAAAAAGGTGTTGCATAAAATAATAAACAGCAATGAAAAAAGTTGTCGAAAAATCCTTGGACATTATTACTGCATTGTTAATTTAGATTCGTATAATAGAGAACATATCATATAAGAAAATGTCAATGAAAATATTCCATCCAGTCTGTTTTTCAAAACTTTTTTAAAAATGAAAATATATTACAAAATATGTAAATATACACCTCATTTTCAATACCATAATGTAAAACAAAAATGGACTTCATTTTATTGATTGACATTGCATTGTGGTGCAGTGCAATAAAATGCAGTTAAACTCTTATTATGGTATACAGTATAAATTCTGCAAACAGAAAAATCTACTCATCAGTCAAAAAGGAGTGTTCATTTCTTTTGGATCTTTTGCGCATACTCAAACTAGTCATTCGATAAAAAAAAAAAAAACAGTAATGCGTAACTTTGCGAAAGACCTTCGACTAATTTACTTATTGTTAATTTTGATTCATATCAAAGAAACAAATATTTAAGAATATGGGAATAAAAGAAATGCTCTCTAGTCTGTTTTTGAAACCTCTTTTTTTTCTGTTAAGAAAACAAATATTTAAGAATATGAGAATAAAAGAAATGCTCTCTAGTCTGTTTTTGAAACCTCTTTTTTTCTGTTAAGAAAACAAATATTTAAGAATATGAGAATAAAAGAAATGCTCTCTAGACTGTTTTTGAAACCTTTATGTTTTCAAAGCATAAAATGAAAAAAAGTGTGTGTATTTAATCAGTTTTTAAATTCAATTAAGAAAGAAAAAAAATGACTAAGTTAATTTTGACTGGACAATTTGGCAGGCATCACAATGTATTGCAGCAGAGTGCAGTATGGTGCAATTCTACTTGTATTTAAGCAAGCACAATTATTTTACTTGTCAATGTATTAAAAATATTCCCCACCATCCACCCTCCAAAAACAGCCTTTATATACAATTTGTCCTTGTGATTGAATGTTTATTTGGAAATTTGCATAATGTAAGTTTTGTTTCAAAGTTCGATAACTCAAATTACGTCCCTTTGAACAACGTAGACAAAACGATCATTGATTTCTGCTTTATATTATGTAAATGTTTAAGCAATGCTAACGAGTAACAGGCTTGTATACTATATATAAAACGTTAGAAAGATATTCACAAATGACCATGTGTTAAAGTCAGAGTAAATAACGGTTACGGGTAATGTCGCGTGTAAAGGACTTAGCGTGAGCTTATCTCACTAAACAAGTACTGCTAAGCAGTATTGAAAAGCGTCTTTGATTGTTCGACAAAGTCATCGGCGCTTTGTTTGAGTCTCAAAATATTCACTCATCAGTCAAACAGGAAAGTTTATATTTTTTTCACTCTTTTGCCTAATAATAAAAATTGATCAAGTATGTTTTAATTAGACAGTACATCAAGCATTACAATGCAATGTATTGTAGGACAGTTATCTTTTTATTTAAAAGCAAAATTATAATTAGCTTGCAATTATAGAACTTCACTCGACACTCCAATTTTTCTCGGCATGTTTCGCATATATCCATATCAGTCTTTCAATAAAAAAAAAATCAGCAGAAGTAACTGTTCTTTGATGAGAACTTAGCTCTAAGTACTGTTATCTGAA